AAACGTCAGGAAGAACAACCTTTAGAACACGGCCAAAGAGCCCGAAAAACCCACAACAACCATTAGATCCCAGCCATGAAAGCCTTTGCGAATACATCAAAAGTTAATCCGTTTGAAATGTGGCACTGGAGGATTGCTTTGCAGATACCCTGGACTGCTAGAAAGTCAAACATGTGGGTCCTAGATCAAATCAAGCCTGAACTCTCCCTGGAGTCAAAAATACTGAAGCTGAGACATATCACGAGAAGGCAAGATTCTCCAGAAATGACAGTAATGCTGGAAAAGGTTGAAAGCATCAGGAAAAGAAGAAGACTAAATATAAGATGGTAGCCAAAGGCTTGAGTTTACAAAAGCAGAGCAGGGCTGTTGAGAACAGGAGTTGTAGGAGATTGCTCATGCATAGAGTTACCATAAGTCAGAGGCAAATTGACAGCAAGACTGTGGAAAGGAGGAGGAGGAAATTGTTTATGTATTTATTTATTTATTTAATTATATGTTTGATTTGTATCCTACTTTTGTCTCAAAATTGAGATTCAAAGGAGCTCACAAGATTAAAACACAGATTAAAAGATATGTCACAATACTAAAAGACAGTTAAACAAATTATATTATTAAAGCATAACTGAATAATTTATATTCATTTATTATATATTATTCACATTTCAGGTTCATATTCAGTTTCTTACATAAAATGAGCAAATTAAAAACAGTTCAATCTGGGTACACATTAAATATGTAAGCTTTGGAGAGTATATCAAAATATACTTTACTGGGGAAAGTAAATTATATCTCCTTAAATGTGACAACATGTTCAAACTAAAACTTTTTAAAGACTTTTTGTGCTATTATCCTGTGCATATTTATTCAGAAATAGGTTCCATAAGATTTAAGGAGGTTTGCCAGGGTATTTAATTTTTGAGAAAGCTATTGAGTTAGCTAAAAAGAACCATAAAGTTACATGTGGTCCATATGTTACAAATGAGAAGACAATGATCCTGTGCCATCATTGGCAGTACTTCTCCTGTTGGGAAAGTTTTGTGACCCCTTCTGTCAAGTGGAACATTCGGACACTGAGAGCAAGGTTCAAATATGCAGCCTTGGAGAAGCCCTGCCTTACAGGAAACGTACATACATCGGTCTAGTATCCTGATCAGATCCCAACCCGTCAGCAAATAGAGTTGTCTCTTTTTCCCTGTTTAGAACAATATCAACACTACGTCAACAAAAAGAGACCACAAGATAAACGTTGTTGCAGTATGCTGTCAAGTCGCCTCCAGCTTATGGCAAATATGAATGAGTGACCTCCAAAATGTCCTGTCGTTAACAGCCTTGCTCAGCTCTTGGGAACTCAAAGCTGTGGCTTCTTCTCTTGATTGCTCAACTCAATGTGGATCTGCCCATATCAGGGAAGCTGGCAGTCAATGCCATCAAGAGGCTGGACCCCATTTCAAGTCTAGACCCCCTAACAGGATCCCCTAGGGCAAAAACGGTCACAGCTGGAGAAACCAGACACATCCACCCTCTTCAGAATTAATGGTCACGGCAGCAGAACAGATAGTTCCAATAGGGATGGGGCAGAAAAAACCCTGAAGGGCAGCTGATGCGCAGTAACAATAATGGAGGGTGAGGATCTTCCAAAGATTGTGGCTGTGACTCTCAAGGTTTTGTTAATATTGCACAGAAGAAGGCACTTGTGAATATATAATACCTTGAAAACCATATAACAAGATAAGACAGTTAGGAGCATAGGTTACTATCATTTCCCTTTCTCAGACCGAAAAAAAGAACAAATACATGAAATGCATTTTTGAAGATCCTACAGACCTGTGAATTAGACTTGGTGAATTAATATTAAAACACAGTGTCTAGCTTTTCTCATCCCTTCTCTGGCAGTATTAACCCTGCTTCCTGATTCCCCATGTGCTCCAAAGTCTTTGGTATCATCAGCCTTCCTGCTTATAGCCCATCTTTGCTCCATGTGAATCAGCTTTTTTTCTCCTTATCTCTTCCTTTCTTCTAATACATGATTCCTCTACCCATCTCTTAAACAAGCTGCAATTACCATGTTCTCTGCCTCCCTGCCCCCCTATCCCAGTACCTTTCCTTTACTTACTCATTGGACACCCTATTTCATAGCAGTAGCTGCAATTACCATGTTCTCTGCCTCCCTGACCCCTATCCCAATATTTGCTTTACCTTTCCTTTACTCACTCATTGGACACCCTATTTCATAGCAGTACTCAACATCCTAGTCATCTTGCTAGTCTTTCTGCTTCCCCTTTCTCGTATAAACATATAACGTATTCCAGGGGACATCCACTCAAATTGAGTGTTGGGAGAGTGAGAAGAGACAACAGAAAATATATCTTTACCCAGAGTGTTGTTAGTCTGAGGAACTCCTTGCCACAGGATGTGGTGATAGCATCTGGCCTATATGCTTTTAAAAGGGGATTGGATAGATTTCTAGAGGAAAAGTCCATGACAGGTTACAAGCCACGATGGGGATGTATAATCTCCAGGTTTAAAAGAAAGGCACTTCAAAATGCCAGATGCAAGGGAGGGGTATCAGGAGACAGGTATCTAGTTATCTCATGTGCTCCCAGAGGCATTTGGTGGGGCCACTGTGAGATACAGGAAGCTAGAGTAGATGGGCCCTTGGCCTGATCCAGCAGAGCGCTTCTTATGTTCCTATGTTAATTCCTTCTGTGCTTTAAGTTTTTGGAGATATTATTTTCATCCAAACTGACTTTCATTTTCCTCTCAGAAGCACCAGAAGTCAATACTGAATTGCTGGTATATTCACCTTAAGGCTTAAGCAGTTAGAATGTCCATGAACATTCTGTAATAACACAGAAGCTAATAGCTGACCAGAGGACCAAACTGACTTTCATTTTCCTCTCAGAAGAACCAGAAGTCAATACTGAATTGCTGGCATATTCACCTTAAGCAGTTAGAATGTCCATGAACATTCTGTAATAACACAGAAGCTAATAGCTGACCAGAGGAAGAAAAATAAAATGTTGGACAGGACACGTTGTTGTTGTTTTGACTCCACTTATCAAAAAAAGCATGGGGATGAGTTCCATCATGAGACCCTAATAAAACCTCTAAGCTGTATCTCTTGACTAGCTTCTCGAAAACAGCCTGGCTTATCATTATGGAGCACTTTGCTTTGACTCCCCAACAACTCACCACTGTTTGCTCATGGTGTTCTGTTGTCCACTCAGACAAATGTTGTACTGTAGTGCCCTAGCAACAGCAACAGCAGTTTGCAACATGTGAGTACCTGCTGGAGCATGTGTACTCTCTTCCTGTTCAATCAATTGCAATCTAACAATATGGGAACACCAAAATAAGCCAAGAGTATATAATAATGTGGTAAACAAAATATTTCTTTTTTAATCAAGCTAATATGTTGTGGGCCACTTTATTTGCAATAGCCCTTCATCAGAGAAATTCTGGACAACAATTGCCAAAATTCTGTTACTGTTTGCACTAAGCTTTTCATTACTTGCCACAGCTAATTGCGGCTAATTTACAAGGTGTGTCTCAATTATGTCACTGGTTATATGTGTTCAATTGCCCAACTGAAATGTGGCCTGTCAGTTCATCAATTAGCTGCAATTTACCCAAACCTTTATGCCAACACCAGTAGGATTCTGACCAGTGTTTTCCGTGTCAGCCTACTGTCTTACACATTGAGGAGTCTTTCTCAATGGGGTTGTCTGAAGCATGTTTGAAGTCAAGTGTAGAGACAGCCATATCAGGTGAAGTCTCCTGGGAGTTGTAGTCCAAATAAGTAACTTTTCTCCTTTTTAGTCCAGACAGCTGGTGAGCCCATAAAAGTATCAGCCTTCAGGGTCATCATTGACAAACCTTGCTTCTGCCATGGCCCTGCCCAGAATGAAATAAATGATGAGAGTGGTGGATGGAGTGGAGTGTTATCACAGTTCTCTAACAAAAGGCCTACCTCCTGAGGCATTGTTACTTTGCCCAGTTTTGAGAGACATCCTTGGGTCTCTTCTGACTATCAGCCCCTTATAGAGGACATATCCAGGCGCACAGTGGAAGTTTGCAAATTTGTTTCTTGTTCTTGTTTTTTCTTCCTTCCCTTCTCAGCCCGAATGAGGAATGAGGTTTTGGAATTGTTTTCTTTTGACAGCTGAGATAGGCATCATTTAACAGTAGCCACAATGCTAATCAGCAGCCTGCCTGTCATTCAAAAAACCACATACTGACTCAAAAGATCCTTGACTGCTTTTTTCCAGGATCTTTATGGTTTTTACCAGGGGGAAAAAAAAATCTTACCTTTTGGCTATTCATGTCTAATTTCCTTTATTAGATAGAACCCTGAGAGAAAATAATACACCTCCCCAAAGGCAAACATGCTTGGCTACTCACCAAGGAACTGGAAGAGCATCCTCTATTTACCTCGGTGTCGACTGAGATCCTTATGGCCCCACCTTGTTAGACCCTGTCAAACAAGCTGGGGAAATTGCCAACATCTCCTGCTATATAAGATTGTGACAGTCCAGGTGAACTAGTCCTTCTGGCCAGAGTATTGCTGCAACAGACTCCATTCAAGATGGAGTTTGGTGGAGGGTTGAAGGTGCCATTATGGACCTTGCTATTAATGATCTGCTGTATCCAACAAAAAGGTAACCATTTCTTTCTTTTTCATTTCTTATTTTTGAAAAGCCAACACAATGAGATATTTTAACTCACTTTCAAAAGTGCAGTTCATTCTATTCTGAAAACCATACCAATGCCTGGATTTCAGTTACCACCCCCTCCTGCCCCGGTCTTATAATACTGTTTCAGCTAAATATTTAATGCTTCTGTATTGGCTGGAGTATTTTTAATTTTATATTGCCTGAAGCCAAAAATACTTAGTGACATCCTGATGGAGACAGCTTTGAAGACTGAATAGAAAAACTGACATTACACTAGAACTATAAGCTTCTTAGGAAAATAATTGGTTTGCAGGATTGAGTGTGAAATATGACTGTATCCTGCTGGAATAAAAACATGTTAGATTACTCCAAAATTTCCTAAGAGTTAAAATAGTTGTATAGGATTCACAACCCCTAAAATCCAAAAGAGACAACAATCTGTCTATCTACACCTTTGCATTGCCTCTCTACAGCCCAGCTCACAGGAGCAATTTAGATATATAAATTCTGATTTAGGACTGTATGTGCTATTTCTAATGGAGATTGATCTATGAGGCATAATAACTTTCAAAAAGGTATGAGGCTTCCCAACTGGTCTAAGTCCCAGGATCTTTAACTTTAGAAGAGACACTACTAGATTGCTCGAAGAAACCTTTCTGGGAAGAAGGTTCTCTTAAAATCAACAGGTCATGTTATTAATAGGACTGTTCCAGGTTCACTTCTTTTTATTAGCAGCCTAAGCCTCTTAACATGAAAGTAATTTCCCCCCTGGCTGAATGAAAGAGTGTTTGGGGGCAATTTTATCCCTGTTTCCATAATTTTGTGCCATTTGTTAAGATCCCAGTGACATTCATACATTTTAATTGTATCTCAAAACTTCTAGCTGAGGCAACCCAAGGAATAACAGTTATTTTAAATATGAGGTCAGTTTTAATTTTCAGAAATGTAATACAGTATAGAGGATGTTTTCCACTGGCAACTGGTTGACCTCTATGTGAACTGAATTATGAAGACCTTTGCTTCTATCTGTCATGGTTCTTTTAAAGTTCCTTTTAATATACTGCCCTGACAATCAAAAACACGTCAGGTCCCATCACGGTTTTGGAAGATGCAACTTTCTATATTCATATCAGAGTGGTGCACAATTGAAAATTATGGATGCATATGAAATATAAGTGAACATTAAAAACTAATAGAAATGTTAGAAATTATTGTCAGTTTTTCCTCTTTTTCGCTCATCAGCAAGTTTGCAGTGCAATGCTTCTGGAAGTGAAGGATTGGCCAGTTTTACGTCACTGCCCCAGGGAATGCCCAGGTGTACCCACAATGCTTTTCGCTCTTTGAGGATGCTCCTTTTATGTCCCTTGAAAAGATCTATCAATTGCAGCATAGTTATATTAATTTTCCAACAGTTTTGCTGGTGGAAAATAAAGCACTGTTTTTTAAACTGCAACATCAGCATAGTCTAGCCTGGGGACATTGTTACATGATAGACATGAACTACTTTATATCATGCAAGCTGTAGCCTAGTGGCTAAAATCCAGTAATACATTGTAAATGGAAGAGATTGGTTGAATCAGTGGGGATTAGGTGATTCTACTCCTTTGTAAGTTCCATTGATTCCATGGGCCTACTCTAGCTGCAACTTAATACTCATGGATTTCAGCAATTACGATGTAGAAGAAATAGGAATGTTTCTACTGAATGTTTCTCACCACATCACCAAACTTCAGTTCTAAGGATGTTTGAAGAGGAAGCCATGAGACTTAAAGGGATATAAAACTATGGAGGCAAGTCATCATGTAGACCAGTGGTCCCCAATCTTTTTTATACAGTGGACCGGTTGAGGGGGGGATGGGATCCGTGCACGGGGGGCACCCCCCATGCTCGTCCGCATGTGCAAAGGGGCTGCGGTTGCTTGCATGGCATGTGTGCATACTTGTGAAAGGGCGGGACCGCTCATGCAGTGTGCGCATGCACTTGCACAAAGGGGCAGGTGTGTATGCGTAGCACACACTCACATGCATACGCAAAGGGGCTGTGCGGGTAGGAGTGGGGGGAGGACGTGCGGGTGGGCTGAAGATCTGTCTCCACGGACCGGCACCGGGCCACGGACTGGAGGTTGGGGACCCCTGGTGTAGACATATCCTACAATGTAAGGCCTTTCAAATGCCACTGATTTTAGTGTGAGAACTTAAGTGTGCATTTAACTTTCCCCTTTAAAATAAATGTGATTATAAAAGGCTTAATTTTGGCCAGATTATGGCAGTTCAACAGCATTGGGGTTTTTTCTTCTTCATTTGATATGAATGCGAAGAAAAAGGCCTAATTACACTTAACCAGAAAGGAGGACTCTGTGATCAAGCTTCTCAGATTTTTCCTGTATTTTCCTATATTTTGTGAACAATATCCTTCTATTGCGGCTTCAGGGATAACATCCTTTAAAAAAAATAATAGAATTGTAGAGTTGGAGGATAGCCCAGCTTCACCTACAGCTAAAACCGTAAGCATCTTTGATGGACAGCCATCCAAAATCTGTTTTAAAATCTTCAGAAAAGAAGTGTCTGACACTTTGTGGGTAATGTGTACCACTGTTGAACAGTTCTTCCCCTCAGGAAGCTCTTTGTGTATTACTTAATAAACACCACACAAAAGGAATAAACTTACACACAAAATGTTTATCTCACTTTTTTGGTAGTTTCTAGCACAGAAAGCATATCTGGAAAAATTAACTTCATTCCACAACTGAGGACAACACCAACCCTTACAAGTAAGTCAATAAAATGAATTGCCATAGTTATTTCCTGGTACCTCTCTGATAGCTTCGTAAGGAGAGCAGCATGAATCTAGTTTAAGAGACAGATGAGAAAATGGGCAGGTTCTTTAGTGGATAAGTAATGTGTCAAAGGCCCTGGCAAATTTGCCAGGGCACACCTTGTGTCTGTGGAATGCCTTGGCGAGGTCTCTATGCTGGGCACCTGTTCTTATGAGGTTATGGTGCCCGGTAAAAACGAGTAGATTTGGTCAGAGATTTACATTCAATGACCGTTGTTTTATTGCTTCTCTTTTTATACAGTATTTAGAATCTTGCCTCAGTTGTTTTGTTTGATTGCATTCCTTTAATCTTGTTTAAAATTGCATGAGATATGGGAAAGAACTGCACATAAAATGAACATACAGCTGCAGGTGTTTGTTTAGACCTGAAGGATGGTGGGGATAAAGGATGTCTCGCACTACTTTGCTGAAAAGTCTGAAAATGAGGTTTGGTGCTTCTACAGAGAGGGAATGACTGGAATTTGGACTATATGTCACCTTATAAGCAATTATCTATGTTTTCTCGTTACATGAAATCACTTAACCTAATTGTTTTGGAGAAGGTACTTCTCTCTGCCAGTATTGGAAAGGTCAGGGCAGTGATCACAAGGAGAGACAATGAGATTCCTCTGTTCTTTCCAGCTGTAGAGATCTTACACCATTATTGCTTTTGGCCAGCATGGAACAGAATTGAACTTTTAAAAAATCCTTCATAGATCTTACTGCTCTGGATGTTCAATAAAATATTTCCAAGTTTAAAATTATCTTGCATTCACATTTCTTCTAGTGCAGTAAAATCTGATTCTAGTTGCAAGCAGTAAAGGATACACAACTTCCATGACTGCTGCAGAGCATCTTCCTTTGCTCTTGAGGATGCTCAGCAGCAAATGGTATATAGGAACTTACTCCCGTTGATTCTGCAAAGCAAGTGAATGGTATTATCTATAGACCTTTCTCATGCTCACCTTAGCATCCTCATCCTCATCCTCATCCTCATCCTCATCCTCATCCTCATCCTCATCCTCATCCTCATCCTCATCCTCATCCTCCTCCTCATCCTCATCCTCATCCTCATAATAATAATAATAATAATAATAATAATAATAATAATAATAATAATAATATACCAGTCGATGTATTTATAATTTCGATTGACTGTGCTTGGTGTTTCTGAATAAAAATAAGAATTGCATCCTGTCAACTCAGACAGAGTTATGGCAACCCTTTCCAGGGTTTTCTAGGTAAAGAATACAGTGGTGCTTCGCTAGACGATGACAATCCGTTCCACTGAAATCGCTGTTTAGCGAAATCATTGTCTAGCAAAAAGCATTTCCCCATTGGAATGCATTGAAACCTGTTTAAGGCGTTCCAATGGGGAAGAATCGTTGTTGTCTAGCAAAAATTGGCCATAGGAAAGCCGCTTTGCGAACCGCCGATCAGCTGTTTAAATCACTGTCTTGTGAAGCTTAGGTCCCAAAAACACCTGTTTTGCGACCGCGGAGGGAGCTGTCAAAATTGTTGTCTAGCGAAAATCAGTTTGCGAAGCAGGGACCAAACATTGTCCAGCGAACTTCCCCCATACGAATCACTGTTTTGCGAATCGCTATAGCGATTGCAAAAAGTCAATGTCTAGCGAAAAAACTGTCTTGCGGGGTAACTGTCTAGCGAGGCACCACTGTACACAGAAGTGTTTTACCATTCCATTCTTCTGGGAGCATTGTGGGATTGTGTAGCTTGGCCATGGCTATACAGGTTGGTTCTTCCCCGAGGAGGCACAGTGAAGGATCAATTAGCCATTGCTTGGCTCTGCAGCCAGGTACCTAGAGAGAGAATAGTATCAGGCTGCTTCTTGAACACATAAACAGGGCCAAGCAAAGCAAGGAGCAAAGGCCTGTTTTTACTGAGTTAGACGTTAGTAATAATGTTGATTTCCCAGTGTGCTGTAGTGCACAGAGTGATGGACTTGGACTCTAGAGAACAGGATTTGAATCCCCACATGGCCATGGAAACTCACTGAGGAAGTGGGGGCTGGTAAAACAACTCCTTAAATGTCTCACTTATCCTGAATGCTCTGTTGGGGTTGACTTGATGGCACTCAACACACACAATACTGTTGTATAAATAGTTATCTGAAATGAATCAAGTCACCACCAACAAAACTGTAGATAATGATTCTCAAATCAATAAAGGACATGTGCAATACACCTTTGTAATCTCTTCTGAATCCACAGCCTTCAATGCAGCTCACAATGGACGGGTATGTAGCACATGGGGCAACTTCCACTACAAGACATTTGATGGGGACATCTTCCCTTTTCCTGGGCTCTGCAACTACGTCTTTGCCTCCCATTGCCACACTGCCTTTGAGGATTTCAACATCCAGATCAGGCGTGTGAGGGTGGACAACATTACCCCTATCTCTTCTATCACCATGAGGCTGGAAGGAGTGGATATTGAAATGCAAGAAGATGCCATTTTGGTGAACAGTGAAAGGTAACAATATAGTCCTGCGTACTAAACATTAAATGAAATGCTGATTCAAACATCCTATTGCGGACAACTGTGGCATTTGAAAGACTAAATATTTTGCAGCATAGCTGGTGGCTCCCCTGCTTTGACATTGTTTGGCTTAGAAAAAGAAATTATTTTTGTGTAAACAAATTCTTTGCAAGAAATGTCTTTATTCCAAGAAAGATGGGAAGAGAGAGAGAGAGAGAGAGATGCAAATAACTGCACAGTAAGAGGGGGGAGCTACAGAATCCCTTGTACATCCATTTCTAATTTTTATGGATGTCTGTGAGCCAAGTATCACTTTGAGGTATGCAAAGTTTGTATTTCAACTTGACAAAATAGCCAGACCAGATCATGTTCAAAGAGGTGACTGGATTGTGTGGCAAAGATGACTATGTCTCTGATGCTTTCTCATTAGGGTGCAGCTGCCTTACAGTGGCTCTGGATTCACCATTGAAAAATTAACCATCTATGTTAAAGTGGCAGCCAAACTTGGCCTAACCATGCTGTGGAATGAAAAAGACAGCCTAATGGTGAGTGCTGGATAATATAAAGAATTTGCTTGAGGAGGCTGCAACAAAACACTGCAGAGTGGAATGTTTTTGTTCCATGCTCTAGCTAGCCAAGCGGGCCATCTTTTAGGATACTTCCATTCTTTCCCCAACCACCCAGCTTGTCTTCCATCCCCCTCTCCAACACTCAGCATCCTGCAGCCACTAAGCATGATCACTTTTTTTTCTGACAGGAGTTTTGTTCTCTTGACCCCATAGTTCCCTGTCTCAAACATTATGCATACTTTCCCATACACTGGGGATTTCCCAGCCATATTCTTGTCTTTCATTAGCCCCAGTTGAACACGCAAGCATTTCAATTCAGTAGCTCATTTTACAATCATTACAAGATAACCCAGAAGAGAGAACTACACACTAAGCATCTTGCCAGAAATAAGGAATTTTTTTATCGTTCCCTGTTGGTTTGGACTATAACTGCCATAATCTCTTGCAATTGTTCATGCTGACATTTGACAGTGTCCAAGTTTATTAAATGTTGAGGTATAACTGTGGTAGGATATTTGCAGTTTGTTTTAGGAACTTCCTGTCCTCAGGTACTTCATATTTTCAGCTCTTCTCAGAAAGACAGTGGTGTTAATAAGCATTTTTTAAAAAAATGAAAAGAAAAAAAGAACAAAAGTGTTGTGGCACATTTCTATCTGAAGAAGAGACTGTAATCCAGAAAAGCTCACAGTGGAATAAATCAGTTAGCCTTCAAGGTGTTACAAAGCTTTTCTTTTTTGAGTGCACTTCTGTTTCGTTTTTCCTTTTATTTTCCATTCTCTAAGCAGTGAGGTAAAAGAGAACCAGCCTGCATGAGCACTTCTAATTTCAAATCCTCAGGCTGAACAT